TTCAATTATATTTTTTTCATCTACTATGTTCATCATTATTTTAGATTCGTAACATGGTTCTGATACCATTTCATCGGAGTGCGCAGCGGAGGGGTTAAAATTTTTGAGCCAATTAAAATCTTCATAAGTATTTAAAATATCACAATAGAATTTATAAAATTCACTATTTTTTATTAAAACTTTTTCTTCAATAATTATATTTAGTTCTTTAATTCTTCTTCTCAGGTTAAAAATTAGTTTATATATATCATTTTCTGTTCTGATTGTTCTATTATCTATAGAAATATTTTTATTTTTTAATTTTGGATTTAGATATTCTGTAAAGAAACCTTTCAGATCTTCTTCTAAATATTTTAATTCATTTTCTGTTGCGTTCTTTAGATCAATAAAATTTTGTATAATGTTTGGGTTTAAATTTATTAAAGATTTATGATCTATATTTCTCTGAGAACCTAATTGAAGGTTTTTATTCATTGTAATGGCTTTGGTTGCAATTTCACAATAAGGGGTATTTTTGAAAAAATTATTGTTCAAAAGCTATTCTTCAAATGGTTATATTTTTTGGTCTAATCTTACAAAACTCTCTTTTATTTAGGCTATTTATAAGTATTTCCTCCCTATTTGTGTATATATATAATCCCAAACGGGATTCCAATTTTTCGCCCCCAGCTGCCCTTTTTAGTCCTTATGTATCTAAACAATATTTTGCCCAGCCACCTTCTCTCGGCTTGCTCTGTGTGTGTGTGTCTATATATATATATTGTTATAAAAGTGAAGAAAAGAGGACAGAGAGAAGTCAATAGACTTGTATGTATTTTATTAAAAACCAAAGTCCTGTATTTATATAGCAGAATTAGGGATACAATAGTAATAATTTTTAGGGCTGCAAGGACATAATTGTCATTCACCTCTAAACCCTAATAAACTTATCTTTTACAACACTCCCCATTGAATGACATATTATAAAATATCTGCCTCATTAAAATCTTGTTTGATAAAACCTAATGGGAAAAAAAATCAAACGAATGAAAAAGAGTACACTTATTTTGGAATGCTAAAAATAAATATTACATCATTGAAACCTCACTAGGAAAATCCAGTGGGACAAAACCTAAGCGAAGGAGAAAGAGTACAGCTACTTCCCCTGATATTGATCACTGAAAATGTTTGAGTCAACGCATTCCAATATCATGAACTAATTTCTCGAATGTAGATGTTGGTAGTGTTTTTGTGAATAAATCGACCACGTTGCCACTTGAAAGAATTTGTTGGATATCAATGTCGCCGTTTTTCTAAAGCTCATACGTATGATAGAATTTTGGAGAAATATGTTTCGTTCTATCACCTTTGATATAGTCTACATTGAGTTGTGCAATACAAGTTGTATTGTCTTCTTACAAAATTGTTGGCTATCCTTTGTTGGAGTTAACTCGCATGATGCTTAGATATGATATGTCACGTCCTCAACCATACATATTATTGGCTTGCTTCATGGATTGCAATAATTTCAAAATGATTTTAGGACGTTGCTGTCAAGGATTGCTTTACAGATCTCCATGATATAGTCGTTCCTCCATGTGTAAACACATAACCTGTTTGTGATTTAACTTTATGTGGGACAGATAAATAACCTGCATCTGTATATCCCACTAACGTAGATCCCGACTTTTGATAATAAAATAATCTCAAATCAATAGTACCCTTTAGGTAACGAAAAACATGTTTAACACCATTCCAATATTTTTAAGTCAGTGCAGAGCTCTATCTTGCAAAGAAATTTACAGAAAAAGTTATGTAGTACAATTTACAAGATAAATTAAGGGTAATTAGCACAAAACATCCCTACCTTTCGATGTTTTTGTGGAAAACGTCCCTACCTTTCATTTTTTAGCTGATTACACCCTTACCTTTACCTTTTTTTGCGCAAAACGTCCTTCTGTCAACTCTCCGTTAAAATGCTCCGTTAAATCAAAAAGGTAATTAGCACAAAAGGTCCCTACCTTTCAAAGTTATTGTGCAAAACGTCCCTACCTTTTATTTTTTAGCATAATTAGCATAAAAGGTCCCTACCTTTCAATATTATTGTGCAAAACGTCCCTACCTTTCATTATTAGCATTTTTACCCCTTCATTTCACCTTTCATTGCGCAAAAGGTCATTTTCATCCATTTTTCAATAAAATGACGATTTTACCCTCCTATTGAAATAAAACAAAAAGAAAAGAAAAAAAATAATTAATTAATTGCAATCATAGTTCTAAATCTTTCAAAATATTACAGATAAATTCTAAATTCTCCACTACCGCCACTTTCACAACCCCACCAAGCCACCACCTATAGATCCATATAGCACCACTTTTCGACTACAACACCTATTGGACTCCACCACCACCAGTGTTGCCTCACTCTCCCCAATATCCTCCTCCATAGTATTGGTCACCAATCTGTCCAAAACAACCACATTTACGGTGGTGGAGTCCGGTGGGCATGATGGCCGAAAGGTGGTATTATGTGGATTTATAGTTGACAGCTTGATAGGTTATGAAAATGGTGGTGGTTGTGAATTTATGATTTATCTGTAATGTTATGAAAGATTTAGAACTATGATTGTAATTAATTAATTATTTTTTTCTTTTCTTTTTGTTTTATTTCAATAGGAGGGTAAAATCGTCATTTTATTGAAAAAATGGATGAAAATGACCTTTTGCGCAATGAAAGGTGAATGGTAGGGGTAAAAATGCTAAAAATGAAAGGTAGGGACGTTTTGCACAATAATATTGAAAGGTAGGGACCTTTTCTGCCAATTATGCTAAAAAAAATAAAAGGTAGGGACGTTTTGCACAATAACTTTGAAAGGTAGGGACCTTTTGTGCTAATTACCTTTTTGATTTAATGGAACATTTTAACGGAGAGTTGACAGAAGGACGTTTTGCGCAAAAAAAAGGTGAAGGTAAGGGTGTAATCCGCCAAAAATATGAAAGGTAGGGACTTTTTCCACAAAAATATCGAAAGGTAGGGATGTTTTGTGCTAATTACCCATAAATTAATGCTCCAATTTCACTAAGGTATAGTATTTCAGGATCAAGAACCTTTTATCCATCTTCAAATGGACGAAATGGATCATTTTTCACATCGAATGATCGAACAACTATGGTGATGCAAGTGGATGTACATTATCCATATAAAAACATTTTAAAACTTTTTTTTTATATACATAGATTGGTGAACAAATAATTATTCTGAGAAATGTTCAATTGGCAACCCAAGACAAAATTTGATTTTTCCGAACTCTTTCATCTCAAATTTATTTTTCAAATAATCAGTAGCTTTGTTGAGCTATTCTGGAGTTCCAATTAAATTCAAAACATTAAAAATAATTGCAAATCCAATATTTGTTTTCTTTATGAAAATATAGACGGACATGATCATTTTCATAGCATTCATTCAACAAATATTTGATAAAATGATTATACCACATACGTCCAGATTGTTTTTATCAATATAATGATATAAGAACATGATTCTCGAACATGTATCATTTGAGTTATGCTTCAAGCATATCAAATCTTTCAAAGTTACCAATAATCGTACCAGATTAGTTAACTATCACGTATTTCAAATTTCTTGTATCGTCAAGATATTATGATACAGACTCATGATTTCATCCATGACGATCTTTGTGAAATCCACTATGTTGAGAGTCATACATTACACATTACAACTTCATTTTTCTCATTTCTTTTTTGTATAAGTATATATCTTTAAATTTTTAGACTACATGTCCAAAAATTGCGTGTTTATTTAGCAAATTCAATTTAAGATTGCGTCTCTTTTTATTTGGCCAAACATTATTTCAATCGATATATTTCGATTTATTTTGATTCCTTGCGATTCACATATAATACTGTATATCATGTACAAAATTGTTGTCGACAACTTTTTCTTTTCTTGTTCGATTTTATCTCAATTTTCAACATATCAGTACCTGAACCTCTTCTGAGGTTTTATAATTTGTGATGTCTAAATAATCATTAAGAGTATATACCTCCTTAATGAAACCATCTTTGTTAATTGCTCCATTTTCATTTAAAGATTTTTGTATTAGAATCGAACACCATCACGCTTCAGACGTGTCGTAGATATATCAAATATAATACTAACAATTTGTCCCTTAAGACATCAATTCGTGTTGGAGTATTAAAAATTGGTGCGTGAAATATTGTTGATCTCTTTGATCAATAAATGCATCTAAATAAATTATCTTTCGAACTTCTGGTTCGAATGATATTTAGCGATAATTTAGATGATGATACATTTATACATTATTTTCAATTTCTTAATTCGTCCCCTAAT